GTCCTACACGGTGAGGGTGGGGCAGGAGGGCCGGCTGAGTGGCAGCCTCAGCTCAGCGGAGCTGTTTGTCCCCGAGGGACTGGGACCTTGGCTCGCAGGCGTCGGGCGTCCGGGTGGGAGGAGCAGTATGGGTTGGTGGCCTGTCCCTCAGGGTACGGCCGCCCCCGTGGCCAGAGCGGGCCCACCAGGCGGTAGGGAGGGGTCTCACATGGGGTTTAAGGGAGCGGCTGCTGGCCCTCTGGCCCTCAGGTCTCTTGGCTCGTGCGGGCTCCATGGCCCGCGGCCTGCTGCTCTTGGGGCAGGTGGGGATCTGGGACACCTTTGTGTCACCGAGGCGGTGGTGGTGTCCCTGTTGTTTTAACTCTGCCTGGAGGAAGTTCCCTGCAGGTGTCCCAGCCCAACAGAGCTTCATTCCCCTTCTTTAGCCCTGGGCTGTTAAAAGCAAATCCCAGCATCAGTGTGATTGGACTCGTAGACGTTGATTACACAACTGCTGTTTTCACGCGAACACACAACCCCGGTTCTGTTAACGGAGCCGGTAGCAATCTAGAGGCAGTCGGGAAGCATTACAGGTGTAGGTCCTGAAAGTACCCGTTTGCTTCCCGGGGCCGCGTTCCCTTCTGATTCCGCGTCAGTCGGCCACGGCTCTGTAACAGCCCCTGTAGCCAAGCCGCTCGCCCCAGCCTTCCACCAGGACAGTGTTAGGGTGTCCGTTTCCATGGGTGCTGTGTTCTCTGTGACGCCACGATCGTCTTCCGTGTGTTCCAGTCGCTGCCGGCCACCGTGATGATGCCGCCTCAGCCTGTGGTCCTGATGCCCACCGTGTACCAGCAAGGCATCGGCTACGTGCCCATCACAGGTGTGTGTCACTCCCCCTTCCCAGCACTGTCCTCGGGGGCTTGCGGCGCAGCATGCAGGCTAAGTCCTGTCTGCGCATGACTCACGGGATCCTTCCAAACACGAGGATGTGGTCTTAGGCTTGAATTATTTTATACGTCTGGGATATAGGTTTTTTTCCCCCAGACTGTTGGCGAGTTGAACTTTTGTGGAGGTGTAGAAATGTAACCTCTGAACATGTTAGTATATGAGTTACCGTCACGAAAGATCCTGCCGTGTGGGGTGCAGTGAGCCGTGTGCCCAAACATTCCTGTTCTGTCGTGTTCGTTCATCTTTGTAAACTAGCAGTTTGTGACGGCAGTCGGGTTGCTTTCACGTCTTTGGATTTTCAAATGTTAACGTCAGCCATCGGTTCATGGTAACTGGACTCAACCAGCCCCTGCCGCAAGCAGCCATGAACCCGGGCAGAACGGACGAGGCGGCAGCTGTGATCGGGCATCGGCAAACAGGCCTGTAGGGCTGTGAGCCCCAAGAGAAGGGAGGCGGAGGAGCCCCTGGCCACCGCGGTCTCTGCCCGAGGCGGCGTGGCTGTCCCTCCGTGCCAGAGGGGCTGGACTGGGGCAGGACGCTGTGGGGCAGGGGCCGTGCTGCCTCAGGGCTGGGGTTTCCAACCAGCCAGAGAAGAGAGGCCTCATCATTGTGCAGTGCGGTTGGTGCAGGACCAGGGTGTCGCCTTGGGCTGACCTTCACCCCGGAGCCTAGCCATAGCCCCACAAGGAAGGGGGCGGGGCGGGCAGGCTGTACCCGCGTCCAGGGTGCCCACACAGGTTCAGGAAGCGGGGAGAGCCGTGGACTCCGGTTTCCACAGGCCGCCGTCCAGCAGATAAGAGGGGGAAAGGGTGAGCCCTGGTTGGGGCAGAACCAGTCAAGAGGAAGTGGCCTCAGTGGCCCAGGAGCTCCAGAGTAGCCAGGACTCATTCACAGAATTAAAGAGTGTCTTACTAAGTGGGAAGAGGGAACCTCGGCAGAGACCCGGAAACTGAGGAAAACCAAGGGTATGTATTTGGCCTGGGAAGCACACTGATTCGGGGAACATCCCTCCTGCTGGAGTGGTCCAACGGCTGGGCACCTCCTTTGCCTCAGGGGGGCGCTCCGTGGGGCCTCTCCCTGCCCCTTCCCTGCAGCAGTTTCAGGGTCTGTGTGAGATCGGGGTTTGACTGCCTGCCTTGGAGGTTTGAGCAGGAACAGGCACCTTATGGGCAAAGGTGTGAGTGCGCTGGGGCCGGTTAAACCCGCAGGATCGTCTGCTCTCCACTCTGGAGGCCAAAGTCCAGCAGAATCAGGGTGTGGGCCGGGCTGCGGTACCTAGAGGCGGAGGCACAGAGCCGGACAGGACCCTTCCTAGCTGCACTGCCGCAGCTTCGGCCCCCATGGCCCTCACGGTCACAAAGCCCCTCCTGAGGGTCGGTGCCTGTGGCCCAGGCACTCCTTTGATCAGGACCCTGCTCCAGATGGCCAGGTGAGGTCTTGTTCATCTTTCTGGGCGCACACTTCAGCCACGGCGTCACTGCCCCGGGACCTGTTTGAGTAACGAAAAGTCCACTGTGTCAGGAGACATGTTTTTATGGTTTCTTAGCTGTCTTTGTAAATGCTTTTAAAGTTTGTCCTAAAACGTTTATTCGGGGAAAGGCAGACTTCTGTATAAATGGAGACTTTGAACTTCTCTTTTGATGCACATTTGTAAGCTTTGGGACAGTGACCTACTCGCAGGAGGTGGCCAAGGAAAGGAAGGAGCTTTTGCCTGGACCTCGAGGCCGAGCTGCCCACCTGCTCCAATGCGTTTCCTACAAACAGGGACTTGCACCCGCTGCCCGTGTTCGTGTGAGGCTTGTGCTTCAGAGCCTTCTCTGCTGTGAAAAACTTACATCCCTAACCTTGTCGAGGTGTGCGTGCGTGTGCACGTGTGATGAGTGATGAGTGCGTGCACGTGTGATCTGCAGTATTGGTGTGTGCGTGCGAGTGCGTGTGTGTGCATGGCACGCGTGTGCACGTGTGTGATGTGGGGAGGTGCGTGTGTGCAGACCCTGCTCCCGCGGGAGGGGGGCTGCCTGCAGGTGCTGCCCCCCGACAGGTGGGGGTCCCACGGGGGAGTTAACCCTGGGGTGGGGGTGAGAGCCTTTTTGAAGCGTGCAGCAGGGTCTTTGTGCGCTGAGCAGTGCGTGGGCTGCATGGAGGCTGTGCCCACCAGATGGGGACAGTGCTGCCCGGGGTGGGAAAGCCTTCGCACTGCTGTTCTGCCCCGTGATTTCTTTTTCTTTTTATTTTTTTAAAGATTTTATTTATTTATTTGAGACAGAGAGCATGAGAGAGAGCATGAGAGGGAGGAAGGTCAGAGGGAGAAGCAGACTCTCTGCCAAGCAGGGAGCCTGAGGCAGGACTCGATCCCGGGACTCCAGGATCATGACCTGAGCCGAAGGCAGTCGCTTAACCAACTGAGCCACCCAGGCGCCCCTGCCCCGTGATTTCATCCACCCTGGAGACGGTCAGCTGGGAGTTGGGCTCTCAGCGTCTCACCACCTGGGCCCGTGATAGGAAATGCTCCGGTGTGCGCCTTGCTCTTGGGTTTCGCGTGCTTGTTGGCGTCGGAGGGACCCACCTGGTGCACGGTCTGCCCCACAGTCGCCCGCTGATGTGGGACCGTCAGGGCCTCCCATCCCGTGTGTTGTTCCTTCCTGACAGAGTGTTTTGTGGCCTTCAGTCAGTGAACATCAGAGTTTGAAGGGACCGCAGCGTGAGCAGCCTGTCGGGCTCTGAGCTGAGAGCGTGGACGGTGCACCTGCTGGGGAGGAGGGCTGCGGGCAGTGGATTTGTGCATGGGGGCCGCGGGCGGGGGCGCACGTTCTTGACCCCGGGGCCGGCGCTCGGCGTGGGCCCTGGTGCCGCTGTGCGCCCCTAAGCGGCGTCTTGTGCTTGCAGGTGTTCCTGCCGTGTGCAGCCCCGGCGTGGTGCCCGTGGCCCTGCCCCCGGCAGCCGTGAGCGCCCAGCCCCGCTGCAGCGAGGAAGACCTGAGAGCCATCCAGGACATGTTCCCCAACATGGACCGGGAGGTGATCCGCTCCGTGCTGGAAGCCCAGAGAGGGGACAGGGACGCAGCCATCAACTCCCTGCTCCAAATGGGCGAGGAGTCCTAGAGCCCCAGCCGCCACGTGGCCTCGGCCCTCCCGACATGCTGGCCCGGCCCCTCCCCCCCTCCTGTGAAGGAGCCCCGTGTAGCCTTTTCTCGGGCGTGTGTAGTCCCAGTCCTCACCTTCGTGTGGGATGCATGTGGGTGGTTGGTCCCCGGCCGCTGGGCCCTTCGTCGCTCAGGGTGGGTGTGCGTGCCTCTCCTCCTGGCTTGGTTGGGAGCAGAGTGGGCACGTGGGCCGTGTCCTGTGTACGCACACTCGCCCTCCTGCCCCTTGGGGACAAGTGTCTTCAAGGGCCGTGGGCTCCTCCTCCGCACGCTGTCCCAAGATCGCTCTCCACAAGCATCTGCCTCTGCCAACGCTTTAGAAAGTGTCGCTGTTCTCCGGGTTTGATTAATGGCATGCAGTTAGTTTACTTAACCGGGGTAGACCTATTATTTCAGGCACATAGAACATTAACAGCCAATTTGGGTTATTTTTACAACTTTCAACCTTAAATTTCACATCTTTCTGTGGATGTTCCTTGTGTGTGGTTCTGGGCTGCTCACCAGTGTCTTGGGCAGACCGACTTCCGTGTTGCCCGCCCAGCGGCAGGGTCTGCACAGATGCAGATCACACTGGATCCGGGGGCCGCTGAGCCCAGCGGCCCGCCTGTCCCCACCCACGGGCTCTGGAGCAGGGCCGTCCTACGCCCCGGGGACCCCATGATGCCTTTTCCTGCTGTGTCTCCTGCCAACTCTGTGGGGTGTGACTCCGAGGGCTTGCCGCTCCATCCTCTGACCAACCCTTGGAACAGAACCTTGAAACTGGGAGTAAGAAGTGGTAGGTCCAGTACTTTGTATTTGTTTATTAAAGGGTATTTAGGAACCGTTGGCTTACTACTGACGTTAATTTGAGTAAACACTGTACCAGGCCTGTGAATTTACTTTGGGTGAAAGAAGCAGCAATCTGGTGAATGTTTAAGTCTTCCCGGGAGGCATGAGGTACGTGGGCTGCGCCGTGGGCTGCGTGGCAGCCATGGCCACGGGACTGGGACAGGCGGGTGGGGGGCATCTCGTGAAAATCCGCCACGTGAGAGGTTTCTCAGGTGCTGCTTGCAGCCTGCGCACGAGACGCCTGCCTCTGGAGAGGGAGTCGTTCCGCCGTGGGCGCGACGGGCCCCAGCAGCGTGGCCCTGCGAGGGGTCGGCATGAGGGTGGACTCCTGTGCCGCCTTCCCCCTGCCTGGGGGTTTGCTGTCGGCTGGAGGACGCTGCTTCTGCTGCCAGCAGGCGCGGGTCAGTCGGAGATGTGTGCCCAGAAGGCTGAAGGAGCGCGTGCTGGTGGCACGGTGACCACACACCGGCCGGGCTCCTCAGTGAAGACGCCGCCAGCCGGTGGACGCCGACCGCTGGCTTGGACGTGTGAGCTCTGCTTTCTCGTGGAACGCGAGCTCCCTGTTCAGTCAGTTTGGGGCCGTGCAGCACATTTCTCCCCAGACGGAAAAAAGTGTCAGGCAGGCCTGCAGCTCTCTCCTGTGGGGACAACCTGCACAGACGTTCAGCACAGGACCCGGGTCCCAGTGGCCCCAGTGCCGCTTCCCGCCTCCCCACTGCTGGGATGTCTGGGCGCCTCGGGGACGTGCTCCCTGTGGGGCAGGCACAGAACCCTGCAAGCAGCCCAGCGGGCTCACTCGCGGGACCTCAGGTGGCGGGAGAGGGACTCTAAACTAAACCTGTCCCTTGTGCTCCCTTGTGAACACTGTGACATCGGAGAGAGCTCACACTCTGCAGGGCCTTCCCTGGTTGTGTTAGGCCCTCCTTTCCTTGTTCACGCCCGACCGTCCTGTCTGTGGGCTCGTGGCCTGTGGTGGCCTGTTGCTCCTGGGGAAGGGGGGTCATGTTGCAGTTCCTCTGAAGCAGGCCTGGGACGGGCCGATGACGTGGCCGCAGCGTGGCCACCACGGACTCCCGCGAGCCAGGGCGGCTGCTGGTGTCTGGGGCCCCGTCCCTCGTGGCCCTGTGCACGGCCAGGTGGCAGACCCCGGGGGCCTCCGTGAGCTGGTCGGTGGCCTTTCCTCCAGATGCAGCCCTCCCCCCCCACGCTGTCAGCGAGGACGGAGCAGTGGTGCGTGCCGGGGATTCCTCCCGCCTCCCCTCCAGCGTTCCTGGAGGCGCCCCTCCCCTTACCGACTCCTCTGGCCGCAGCTCTGTGCGCTGGTGGGAACGATTCTCAGAGCTGTTTCCGATGCTTCTGTCGGGGTCCGGTGTCCGGAGTTATCTTTGATTGTAAAGTATATTTTTGCTTTTCGGCCTTCTAATTTAATACATGGTATCTATAAAAGTAGAGAATTAAACTTCTCCAGTGAAACTTTACTGTTTTTGTTCCTGAGTGGTTTTTAATTTAGCTCAGGATACGTTCACTCGCTAACAAACTACACGACGGTTGTGTGAGTACAGGTGAAATTTAATGGCTGGATTCAGAACGTTAACCTGAAGTATTTATACCAAGCATGAAGTTTTGTTTTTCGGTTAAAATACGATGGGGAGAGAGGTGCCTGGGTGGCTCGGTCGGTTAACCCTCTGCATTCGGCTCAGGTCACGATCCTGGAGTCCTGGGACCGAGCCCCACATCGGGTCCCTGCTCAGAGGGGAGTCTGCTTCTCCCTCTCCTCCCCGCTGTGCTCTCTGTCGCTATCTCTGTCTCTTTCAAACAAATAAAATCTTAAAAAAGAAATGACAGGGAGAAGGTTCGGGGCCAGCAGGGGAGGCAGCTGCGTGCCCCCACCCTGTCCCCAAGGTGGGGTTCCGCACAGTGCTTCCTCCATGTGGCTCGCTGCCACTCGCTGTGTGTCGCCATGAATGTCTTTTGCCCAAAGCAGCGGAGGGAAGCGCGTGTGCTCGAGCCCAACACAATGTGAGGAGGCAAGGAGTGCTTCTGTTCTGAAGCTTGGGACAGAGTGCCCAGGATGCCATGGGCACAGCCAAGCTCTAGGAGTACCCCAGGCGGGTGCAGGGGCTGCACGGAGGGTCAGCGCAGTGGGGTGGGGGTCTGTCTGCTTAGCACGTTCCCGAGTGTGCACAAGGCAGGCGCCCGGTCGTGTTTGGAGGTGCTAAAGTCCTGGGTGTCTGGGCGCGAGCCGCCTTGGTTCTGTTCTAACAGCCTCAGGCATGGCTCCTGATGAGGGGCCGGTGTCCAGCTTGCCGCGAGGGTGAGCTCGAAGGAAAGCGCCCGCCGCAGAAGGAGGTGACGGGAGATTGCCAGAAGCCCGACGTGGCCCAGGAAGCCCCGGAGGAGAAAGCCGTCCTGGGCTGGTGGAAGCAGAGGCACATTCTTCCTGGAGGAACGTGGTGTTGGTTGGGCCTCGGAGGACTCAAGCGCACGCGGCTTCGTGCGTGCTTGGGGAGACGGTCCGCACGAGCAGGGAGCAGCCATGAGCAAGGCTCAGCAGCAGAATCCGCACGACCAAACCTCCACAGAGTCGGACTCCACTGAGCGCCACACAGGGACCTAAATGTGCAAACAGGACAAAACAGTGCGAGCAGAGACCAGGAGGCTGTGCACAGGATGGGACAGAGCCCGACAGCTACTGGCAGTGAAGACGCGGCCACTGGAGATCGGTGGAAGGCTGGGCACTGCCCGGGAGACCGCTGCCCCCGGGGAGCGAAGGGGTGGGAGGGGGGACGCTCGACTCGGGTCAGGAGTCACAGTGAGCCCCACGGGGCGTGGGACTAAGTGCCCGTCACCTCCGCGACACACATCTGTACCGACTGGGAAACGCGTGTGTGACGTGGGGCACACGGGTTCTAGTTCAGGGACAGCGGTGATGTGGAGGACTCGAGACGCCGGCTCGCTCCGTGTGAGTCACGCTGCCTGTTACCGTGAGCCCAGTGGCTCCGTGGTCCTGGCATGCAAGTGCAGGACGTGGCCCCGGGTCGGGGCAGGGGCTAGATGGGGCTGTCCTTGCAGGCGGCCCTGCGCTCTGCCAGCCCCTCCCCCGTGCCGTGGTTCGGACAGGCGGTTTGACCTGGGGTTCAGGGCTCCCCCCTAGCTGCACCAGCGGTTACTGAACAGTGAAGGGGTCACTGGTGGGCTCTGCTGGCAGTAAGCCTGTCCACCCCAATCACACATTACAGGCTTGGGGACATGACCCGATTTTATTTTTTATTTATTTTTATTTTGTTAAAGATTTACTTATTTGAGAGAGAGTGCACACACGTGGGGGGGGGGCAGAGGGAGGGAGGGAGGGAGAGAATCCCCAAGCTGAGGCCCCGCTGAGTGCAGAGCCCGGCGCGGGGCTCCATCCCAGGGCCCTGAGATCCCAGGACCTGGACGCCCAACTGACTGAGCCACCCAGGCGACCCCATAAGCCCCAGTTTTAGTGGGGCCCTGGTGTCCCATCTGGGGTCGCCGCCCTGTGTTGCCGGCATGGTGTTGCAGGACCGTCCTCCAGCCGGCAGCTCAGGTCTGGACGCTGGGGGAGGCTGCCGGCCTCCGTCGAGGAGACTGTTCCATGTGCTGTTCCGTGTGAGCATGCGGCCCCTCCAGCTTGACCCGGAGCCCCAGGGCCCAAAGCCTGTCCCTGCAGCTTCTCGCCGCCCTTGCCTCTGCTCTCTGGGGAACTGGTTTTGTCACGGTGTCCGCGACTCCGAGGTTCCCGGTCCAGGTGCCCTCCTCACGTGTGCCGCCCTGGGAACACAGGCTGAGCCTTCTGGTCCCTTCCTCAGCACCCCAGGGTCATTCAGGCGGGTGCCCAACTTCCCAGAGCCAAGCCAGCGCCATGCAGTCAAGCTCCAGCCCCGGCCCGGCTGCTCCAGAGCCCTGCCGCCGCCCAGAACACGTCCCCGGGGCTGCGTGGACGCGCGCGTTCGCTGCTCTCGCTGCTCCTGGCTCGCCGCCTGCCGCCTCTCAGCTCTCTGCTCTGGCTTTTGCATCGGCTCTTCTGGGTTTTCCGTATGTGTGAGGATATCCCCGAAAGTCCGTCCCTGCTGCTGTGACGGCACCCGGGCCCGGGGCGTGCAGCACGGACGATTCCGCCTCCCAGCTCCGAGGGCTGATGTCCCCTCCGTGTCCTCATGTGGCAGAAGGGGCGGGGCGGCTCCCTGGGCCTCTCCACAAGGCACCCGTTGCATCGTGGGGACTGCACCTGCCCACGGCCGCACGTCCAGACACCATCACTCATTCAGTCCCAGCAGACGGCTTTTCGTCTTCCCCGTGCCGCACCCCTCATGCCTCCACACAAGCGCGAGAGATGAGGACTGAGGACAAACAGGCCCCCTGCCTAGAGGGCCAGAAGGAGGCCAGGCCCCTGCTGCTCGCTCCGCGCCCTGTGGCCCTGCAGATGCACACCCTGGGGCGGGGGCAGAGATGCCGGAGGAGAGGGGGAGGCAGGGCGGGTGGGAGGACTCTTCTGCTCGCATTCTGGGGGCCGGGACAGCTCTGACGCAGAACGCGAGCAGCCACAGGTGAGGAGCTGGGGTGTGGACACGGAGCCCGTGGTCGCAGCCCCCCAGAAGCCTTGCCGTGTTGGGCACAGCCCAGAGGCTCAGGGTTCCAGTGGGAGAAGGTGCGGCTGGAGGGCCAAGCCAGGAGAGGATGTTTGGGACAGGAGTGGGGACCGAGGATGGCGGGGGCAGGGGCTTCGGAGTCCTGCTCCCACCTCTGCACACTGCTGCATCTCCCTCACATCTGCTCGGGCTGGGTCACCTCCTTCCTGTGCTCTGAGTGCCCAGCAGCCCCGTCTTGCTTGGGCCCCGAGACTGCTCTCCTCCACCCACTTCCCCCCCAGCTCCAGCCACTGCTGGTGAGCCCCACCCCAGGGCCTTTGCACAGATGCTGTCCTCCCTCTAGCCTCTCCTAAATGTCCCCTCCTTGGGCCGCTTTCCTGGCCACCCCGGCAACTCCCTGCGCCTTCCCACACCTCCTGGACCTTCTGGACTGACACACATTGTTACCTTCTCACCATCCTTGTGCAGATGCTGGCTGGCTTGGGAACTCGGGGAGCGGGGTCTGCTGCTCATTTCGCCGGTGCCCACACAGCAGGTGCCTGGTCCACACGCGGGCAAAGGGAGGAAGGGCTAGGGTCCCAGCCTCACGCGCGCTGCGGCCCTGGAGTAACCAGGAAGGCCCTCCAGTCGCCTCCGGGGCGCGAGTGCATGGGGCGCCCTGCGTCTGGGTGCACACAGGCCCCAGGCCTTCCGGGCCTCTTCCCTGGTGCTGAGGGAGCTGAGTTGTTGTCATGACCTCTTCGATCCAAACGCCTTTTGAACTGTTCCTTTCTGAAGAGCAGTCTTTGCGGAAGAAAAGCCACAGCCAGGTTTTACACGAGGCTTGAAGCTCTCAGGTCGGGAGACGTACAAGGACCGCGTCGAGGGCTGTGCTGCGTCCCACTGGGCAAAGCCCCCCGGAGAAAATGCCGGCCCCACCCTGCCATGGCGGGGGGCAGTGGAGACGTGTGCTGACGGTCGGTGGACAGGGAACAGACCCGTGAGGCGGGGCAGCGCGCGCGGGGCTCGCTGTGTGCGTCCGTGGTGACCGGAGCGCAGCCGGTTCCTCAGAGCGTCCGCTCCTGGCTGCTGGCGTGCTCGTGGAAACATTAGCCCCGGCGGAATGCAAAGTACCTTGTGTATGCACTTGTAACGTCCGTCACTGTAAGGTGTCCCCCAAATGCAAGCAACAAACCTCACGACGGTGGAAACGTGAGCAAGCTAATGGACGTTACGATGCGGGACTCGCTGACTCAGCGTGGAGTGCTCCGTCTGTCTCCCCCGTGACGTGTGGCCCTGCTTTGCCGTCGTCCTGCAGACATACGCGTCCGTGTGGGGGAGTGAGGAATGAACAGAGCGCATGGCATTCACGCCTGGGCCGCGGGGTGTGTGTAGCCAGACTGAGGGGTGTTGAGGAGGAGGGTCTGGCCGGGGCCCTGGGCTGGGTGGGGCTCTGCCCGCGGAAGATGGACCGCCCCTCGGCGGCTGGACGGCACCCCTGAGATTGTGGGGTGGGAGCTCTGCCCTCAAAGCTGACCCACCGTGAAGCTCCATGCCCCGTGCTTCCAGTCCCCCACCTCAGGCCCCAGACAGCTGGGCCGTCGTGGACCCACGTGGCTGCCATCCATGGAAGGAGCAGCTTGCAGGGGAGAATGAGGACGTGACCCCCAGGTTACTCAGACTCCGGGGAAGGTCACCATGACATGGGGGTCACTCAGCTCTCGTGGGTGCCTGCCAGTACCCCTTGTAGGATGAGGTTTGGGACAAGTTGTCGAGTGAAGCACACACCAGCAGAGTTCTAGAAATGGCTGCGACCTGCCCCCTGTGCCCTTGGTGAGTCCCATGGCCTTGGGCCCCTCCCTCTGGTGAGCCTGGCAGTAGAACTGGGT